TAATTCCTCTAGGTGTCGTCCTGTCTGGTGGAACAACTGAAGAAGACTGTGCTTTATTGCCCCCATTACCCTGCCTATTCTTTGGACACTCTCGCATGAAATGTCCATTCTGACCACACTTGAAACAACCAATGGAGCCCTCTCGACAAATACCTGAGTGGTTTCTACCACACTTGGCGCAAACATGAGGCTTACTACTCCCTTGCGCCACACCACCCGAAGATTGTGCTAGTCTAGCCTTGAAGTCCTTCGAATTCTGGCCATTAAATTCACCTATGTATCTGGGTGCAGGTGCTCTAGCAGACGATGGAGCAGGTCCCTTTTGCCTATGCTGAAAGGAGGAACGGTTTGAATTACCTCTCTGCTGCCCGGACTCGTTCCCGATCTTAGCTCTCTTATTTCTGAACTCTTCTATGTCCCTCAGCTTCTCTTCCTCAACCTGCTGCACATAAACCATCAACCTTGATATGTCCATGTCCCCAATAAGCATTGTAGCCCTACCTTCCTTACTTGACAACCGAGACAGCCCAGCAACAAACAAGCTCATTCTATTCCTCATGTCTGCAACCATCTCCGGAGCATAGCGGGATAATTGTGTGAACTTCAAACTGTACTCATGAACACTCAAGGACTCCTGCTTAAGTGTGAGGAACTCACGTACCTTGGCCTCTCTCAATTCTCGAGAAAATAAATGCCCCAAGAAAGCTTCCTCAAAACCGGCCCAACTTGCAGGTGGTGCATTCTCAGCTCTGCCCCCTTTCCACTGGTCAAACCATGTTCTAGCAACATCCTTCAGCTGATACGCAGCTAGTTCAACCCGCTCAATATCTGCCACATGCATCACATCAAAAATCTTCTTCAACTCCTCAATGAAATCCTCTGGATCCTCAGTAGTGCTCGAACCCATGAAACTCGGAGGATTCATCCCCAAGAACTCACGAATCCTAGAAGTGTCAGCTCCTTCCTGTCGAGCTCCCCTTTGCTGACCAATCTGATTAGCTACAACTTGACTCAACATTCTAATTGCCTCTCTGAACTCGGCATTAGAAACTTCCCCTTGATCTTGCACTCCCGGTGCATAAGGTAACTCTTGCTCATCAACATAACATCTAGGAAGACGCCCTCTACCAACTCTTCGTGGAGGCATGATTATCTGAAAACACGCGCAAGCACGGATTAGAAAGAAACTTTTTAGAGATCAACTCTAACGCATGAAATGAGTGTGAAAGAAATGAGAAATCTTCCTAAATGTTGCAGCCTGCCAATTATAGATGCGGCGCGCTTCACACCGATAACTAGGACTCTACAGACACGGCTTCATAGACTCCCTAGGACTCTTGAACTATGTGCTCTGATACCAAGTTTGTCACGCCCCGAGCCTACACCCTAGGCGGTACCGGCACCCGAAGACCATTTTTGGCCCCAAGCGAACCCTTGGCCTGGCTTTCTTAACTCAGCGGAAACCTAACATAACAGAATAACTCAATGCAATGCAATATTACAAAACAACTTAACTTATAAAATATGGCCATAAAGGCAACTCGAATATCAAAATAGAATATTTACATATATATATATATATAGATGAGAGACTCAAAACTAACTGACTGGTTGTCTGTCTATGAAGCCTCTAAAATACTGAGATGGATGTTGGGACAGACCCCGCAACATCCTAATAAAACAAAAACTAAGAACACAAAATAATTGAGTCCTCCGGAATGCAAGGAGGCTCACCACTGACTCTGGAGTGCTCAGCTGGATCAACGACGTGTAGGATACTGATCCTGGGTACCTGTATCTCCATCATAAGACGATGCAGGCCAACTGGCATCAGTACATGGAATGTACGAGTATGCGAGCTGGAAAACTAAGCAACATAGGCTAGAAGGAAATTTGGAAGAAACTGAAAAGTTTACCTTGCTCAACTCAACTCAACCTGACTGACTTCTTTCAATATAAGGCAATTTAAAACAAGTGTGATATAAAGAAAGACTGTTTAAAACATGCTATAAACTCTGTGTGTATACAAAGATACAATAAGCCTGAAATGTATATAGAAATACAATGAACTGATGTATATAAAAATACAATAACTGTTGTGCGAGTTTCTCCAACCGACAACCATCACATAAGAGCTATAGTGATGATACAGCGATCGACCTCACGCTGCCAAAGCATCTTATACCCGGCCAAAGTTATAAGACCTGAACTGCCTAATGGATCCACTAGTCTAATCTGAAAAGGGTTCATCTAAAAAGTATGATCCTTTTCTACCCATGGTGGCTAACATGGTTCTATGGGGGCTGCGGGTTCTTTGAACGCTCCCCCAATTCGGTGCTCGATACTACTCCCAAAAATTTACTGGCTCTTATGTTTTTAAAATATATTTATTCCTGCTGATATGAGATAATTACTCAAAAACTCGCCCGAAGGCTCTTTTGGAAATCTCAGTTTCCAACCTTGTTTAAATGTAAAAACATTTCTTTAAAACTTCTTTGGGAATACATAGTTCCCTAATAACTTTGAGAAAATGAACTCAACTTTAAACTCTTGACTCTTTACTCTTTACTTGACTTGCAACTTAAGCCTTAGAATGAAGTTAAAACGTTCAATAAAGACTCTTGAAAAGCTTGGAGGACTTGCTTGAACTAACTTCTTAACTTCTAAGCTTGACTTCTAATTTCACTTGACTTCTAACTCGACTTGACTTGGAAACTAACTTCACTTGACTTCTAACTTTACTCTCCTTAAATTGGAATTATGAATTCAAGGGTAATGATTTGTGTTTGGAAGGACCCATGATGTTTAGGAAATAATTTAGGACAGCTAGACTTAAGAAAATTTCGAAATTTAGATTCTGAAAACAGGGCAGATTTTGTTCGCAGAGGGAACACAGCTGCAACGCAGACTTGCTTCAGGCAAGCTGCCCAACTTTTCTCCTTCATGTTGCCAACTCTAAACCCTCTTAACCTCAAAGGTTCTTATCCCAAACACTTGGGGTCATAAACCCCTCAACATACAGTGGACTCCACTAAAAAACGCAACCAGATCCTGTCCCAAATCAGCAAGAACTTCAACAACACAACCAACAACCAAAATAAATCTTTTCTTGGAATTAAAAACGAGTTGGTGTGTGGGAGTATGAACCAACCAACACTAAGGATCATAAAATCCCTCAATATACAATAGGTTTCAGGTCAAGAACACAACCAAATCATGTCCCACAACCAACAATAACTTCCACAACACAACTAACAACATCAACAACAACTAACAACTTCAACAACAAATCCAATATTTTCTCAAATCATAAAATGAGCTTGGTGTGTGGGAGAAAGGATCAACCCACACTAAATAACTCACATACCTTGATAGGGATCATCCCCGACGAAATTCCACGATGGAAACTTGTTGATCTCCTCTTTCTCCTCTTCTTCTCTTCTTCTTCTCTTCTTCACTCTCAAGAACCCTAACTTTCTCTCTTTTAAAATGGAACAAAAATGATCCACAAACAGCCTAACACAACAATATAACCTCAAAAGAAATGATTTGTGAAAAGACCAAAATGCCCTTAAATTTCCAGACGGACTCCCTGCCAACTTCCCCAACTTTCAAAGGGCATAACTCGCTCATATGAACTCGGAATTGAGTAAAATCAGTGGTGTTGGAAAGATCGTTCCACAAGCTTCACAACCATAACTGGAAATACTCCTAACTCATCCTGAGCTAGGAGTTACGACTACTCAAAGTTGGCCAAAAACTCACTGATTTCCACACTTAGCCAAATTTCCAGATTTTTGAACTTAGCCAAATTTTCCAGATTCTGAATTCCTTTCATTATTTTCCAAAAATGACTATTTCAAATTTCAAGCTTTTCCATAGTCATTTCAAATTGCCGGATGTTACAGAGAGATCAAGATATCTCAAGTATATTAGCTTGCCGATTTTGGCTGACAACACCTCAATGCCTGACCTGGACAAATTTATAACTCTCAAGAACTGAAAGCTCAACAGCATATCTTCAGATATATTTCTTTTCCAGAATAATGTGCACAAACGTCCAGGCTTGTTTATCTTATCTATTTTATCACTTGGTGAGTCCCATCCAAAGTATCGGACTTGAGAAAGATTTTCTCCTCCTACACTCTTTTGATCAAATAGTTTAGACTTTAAAATATCCCCAGCCAAATCATGCACAAGATCATGCATCTTACAATGTGTTATATTGTTGAGCTCATCTAGCTTAACATCTTGCAGCAAAGAAAATTGCAACAAGAGTTGGAAAAACTTGTTCCCGACGTCTTCCATCACGGGGGTCTCTTGACATGGACGAAGAAACCCTTCTGCCATCCAAAGTTGGATTAGTTGGTCCTTCTCAAACTCAAAATCTTTTGGAAACATTGCAAAGTAACCAAAACATTTCTTCAGATGTGGAGATGGTAGATAATCATAGCTTAGTTTTAGGATCTTCTTTATGTTATTTTCCCGAAGATCATCTTCCCCTGCAACAAGGGGGTTGCCATCAAGAATTGCCTGCCAGTCATGTTTATCCTTGTTGAATAAGAGGCTTCCCAACACACTTGCTGCCAACGATAGACCTTGACACATTTCAACAATCTTGTTTTCCATGCTCAGTATTTCCTCCGGAACTTCCCCACCAACAAACGCTCTTTGTTTGAAAATGGACCAACAATGATAGTCTGTTAATTTCCCCAACATATGAAGATCTATTGCTATTGTGGATGCCACTTGTTTGATATGAGTAGTCACGAGAATGCAGTTTCCTTTGGATGTATTGATTCCTTTCAAGGTGTCCATGAACTCATGCCACGATGTAGAGTCAACACGCCACAAATCATCCAGGACCAGCAAATACTTTTTTTCTCCCAATGCATCTTGTAGCATCTTGACTATTATATCTCTGCTTTGGACCTCACCTTTCCTCTTTGTCAGTGATTCGAGTATCAGTTCAAGAAAGCTCTTCGTTTTTGACATTTCAGGTAGGCACAACCAAACTCTCTTTTCGAACTGCTGCTTGATGTATTCGTCATTGAAAATTCTCTTAGCCACAGTTGTTTTCCCTAAACCCCCCATACCCACTATGGGAATGGTGCACAGAACAACATCCTTTCTCATGTTCAAATCTTCTCTTTTATTTCAGCAACATCTTTGTCTCTACCAACAACATCCGAAGCAACAACGACGGAATCTGTTTCTCGAATCAGAATTATTTTCTGAGAAGGAACCATCAGTGATTTGAGACCGAGGTCATTGGCTAACTGATTAATAGCCCTCAACTCTTCATTGATGTTGTTGATTTTTCGAGACATTTTGTACTTATAAGCAGTATGAGAAAAGAAGTTGCTGACCTTTTCCATTAGTTTGGTTTGGATGTTCATCACTTGTGCTTTGAGAGATTCATATCTGAATTCATCAAACACGTTTTCAGCATCTTCAGCAGCTCTCTCAAGCATCTTGAGCCATTGTTCAACAGCCTGATCATTAACTTGTCGTTTTTCAGCATCATGAATGAGAGCTTGGATCATGGATACATATTTTGTCAGCATTCTGAGATTTTTCTTGCAGTTCCTTAAAATTTTAGCCTCCTCAATAGTGAGAGAAAGCAGTTTATCAAGCACAACTTTAACAGTAGCACCAATTACAAGATCGGCCATCGTTGCAATGCTCTTTACAAAGTTGTTTTCTTCCTCTATACACCAAAATCTTCTCAAATTTCTTGCAGAAGTATTCTTTTGATAGTTGTTTGCCGGCCTCTACAAGAAAGAGAATAATTCATAGACAATAATTTGCATAAAGAATTCTTTTGTGGAATAACAGCTAATCATCCTTTAAATAAATATTTTTGGATGGTGGTTCTGTGTTGTTTTTATTTCTAATGAATGGCAGTCACTTTCCAGTTAATAGTTGACATATATTGGGCAGTTTAGAACTGTTTAGCTAATTTATCTATTTCCCTTCTTATTACTGACGCTCCGAATAGAATTATAGTATGAGGGTTATGTTAATCTGAAAAAGTTAAATCTGATTACCTGTTAATATATGTTATTGTCTCAGACCTATTATGTATTAACATAGTGAAGTTGTTTGTTGAAAAAAAGGCAGTTTAGAACCAACAAAGGAAAACATTACCAAATTACTAAAAATTTCGGCAAACTTTCCATTATGATTTTGAATAATGCTTAAGAAATCAAGTTCCTCATTCCTCATATACACGAGCCTGATGAGTTTCCATTCCAAACAACAAGACCAGTTCCACAAGTCTGGTTTCAGGCGCAAAACAGCAAATTACCCCAAGAGAATGATCCTCACATCATCTTTGTTCATGTAATGCATGTGCTAGTGTGGAAACAACAATTTACCCAAAGAGAAAAAAACCATCAAAGGAAAAGGGACTAGGTAAGAAGGATTTTACGTTCTTCAAAAAACAATTGATTGAATGTGCAATGCTTCCAGCCCTTGTGGCATCTATAACATGCTCATCATCGATTTGAAACATGTATGTTCCAGCACCCCGAGATTAGAAATCATGTTATTACAGCAAGTGAATATAACATTTTCACCAACTATCACCTTAGATCCTTCATCAAGCTAGTGAACAAAAATAGTTACCACCAAAGATGAAAAGGGGATGCTTATGAAAAATTTAAAACACTACTGAATTCATAAAAATAATCAGTGAGAATTTATTTGAGCTGCAACTCATGAACAGAATTCGAAAAAGGGCACCTCCCATGTATACCCTTTATTATCTTCACGATACAACCTGAATAGATATAACAACTACTGAGTTTCTTCTTCTTTTGTAAAGGTTGGAAGAGGGGAAGGGTCAGACTCTAATACAACAAAAGAAAGGGGGAAACTAGGTGGAATTTACTCAGAATCATGAGAATGCAATAAACACTCCTATCATCAATTTTTTTGAAAACTGGTAATTTGTATTCCTCAGCATTAAGGATATGTTGGAGACCTCCAAAAAGTTATCAACAACGAGTTATAACTAAGGCTAATTACAAAGAGCCTAAAAAATCTACCGATTGACCATCTTCCACATTTGCTAGTTTACACCAAAAGTGAAAATTTACGATGCAATTTCATTTAATCTTTGCAGAGTATTAGACCTGCCCTCAAAACACCTCCCTTTTCTTTTCTTCCATATTGTTCACCAAATACACAAAGGAATTGCTCTCCGCCATCTTTTCTGGGACTTGCTACCCCTCTCCTGATCCAACAACTTAGAAGATCTGATATATGTTCTGGCATAATCCAGTTGGAACTTGTGAGGCTGAAGAAAAGTGATACCAAGAGACCTCAAGTCTCCTCTCTGTCAATGATTCGAGGATCTGTTCAAGAAATCTCTTAGTCTCTGACATTTCAGGTAGACACTGTTGACACCCAATTTCGACCCTCCCTGTAAATTAATCACCGAGTTTCTTAAATTCCAAACAAGTTGAAATAATTGACTTTATAAAATTCAAAATATTTTTCAAGTTAGTTTAAAGTAATTTTGTCATTTTAATAATTTTTTGAATAATACATATGTTTTACATAATTATGTATATATTAATTAGTATATTTTATCAATATTTGAAAATAGTCTCAAAAAGATTTTGTTTTAATTAAATATTTGGTTAATTAATTTTGGTTATATAGTAGTTTATATTTTAAATTATTTAGTTTATAATTAAGTTAATTATTTTATTTCGTTAAGATTAAGAAGCTTGCTAATTAATTTTTATTGATTCGCCTTATTTAGTTTTTAGCTGAATTACCAACTAAATTCATTTCAGTTAAAATGTTAATTCGATTTGGCTACGTTTGAAATTCATACTTAATTGCAAGACCAAGAAGTTGGCCCTTTTGTTCTTCAAATTCCTGCAGCCCATTTCAATAAATCAACAGCAACATACCAACAAGGGAAACTTACATGGAAAAAGAAACTTATATCAATAAATTACTTAAAATAGCTACTGTTTACTTTATTTACCATTCGCCACCTGTTCTTTGTCATAATTACGCTTGTTAGTTTTGTATAAGCGTGCCTCTTTTTACCGGGTTCACACGCTACTTGCTTGTTTCTACATATTTTTTCTTTTAACCTTTTTCACCCTAAATTCAAATTTTCAATCTCTCCCTCTCAATATGTTCTCCCAGATTTTTCAGGTAATTGTTTTGCCGGTTTCAGACTTATTTCATTATTTTGTATTTGTATATTACTGCGAATTTTTTTGTGCCTTTTCAGTTTTTTGGTTTGATACATCCAAAATCATGGATGAAGAAGAAACACCTTCTAAGAGAATCACTAGAGGTATACAATCGAATCAACATTTTTTGGATGATTTTCCATCTTTCTCTTTGGGTTTTACTCAGGATTTCCAAGAAATTTCAGGATCCATTGCTAAATCTCGAATTAATCAACAAGAGGGTATGTCGCAGTCTGGTAATACCCCATTGAAGATGCAAGAAGTCATGCATGTTGCAAATTCAACAGGAAAGACCAAAAAAGTGGATAAACGTAAAGAAGACAAATCAGTTGATGTTTTGACTTCAAAGAAGAAACGTAAAGTAAAAGAGATAGCATCTACAAGCAATAAACAAGACAAATCAATTGATGTTTTGATTTCAAAGAAGAAGCGTAAAGTAAAAGAGATTGCATCTACAAGTAATAAAGAAGATGCCCAATCTAATTCAGTTGAACAACTACATTTTGAAAGAATTGAGGTAATTTGTATAATATATAATTGTATATATGTTTGAAGTTCAGATCTAAAATTGTATGCATATCTGTAACTGTTTGAATATATTTGTACCTATATTTACAAAATGAAATTCTATGTTTCAATAGTTGTTGTCATTATTTTGAAATTTGTGTTATACTTAATTTCAAATTGTATAATTCTTTTTGTTTCACAGTTGTATTCATATTTGTATAACTTCGTATTTGTATATAGATATTCACTTTGTATAACTCTGTATTTGTATATAGATATTCACTTTGTATAACTCCAACTTTGTATATAGATATTCACTTTGTATAACTCCAACTTTGTATATAGATATTCACTTTGTATAACTCTGTATTTGTATATAGATATTCACTTTGTATAACTCTAATTTTGTATATAGATATTCAATTTGTATAGTTCTATATTTTTGTTACTGTTTTTGCCATTTGTGTTGTATAATTATACATTTGAAATTGTATTATACTTTTACATTATTTATTAGGGAGTACAATTTATTCTCAAGGAAGATCCACTTTACACCCCACACATGCAATGCTATACCAATATTGGGGTAATGGATCAATTATTTTATGTATAATTCAACTGTTGAAAAATACCTTGTATTTTTATGTATTTGGATATAGGGATTGTGGTCTATACATTTCGGCATATGCAGAGTTCTTGAGTGATGGCAATGGCATTCCAACAAGTCCATTTGATCCTGATTTTATGCATAGCAGATATGCAGCGCTGTTGTGGAATTATAGCATGCGCAAAAATCAAGCTAAGGCGATTAGTGACAGTGAGGCACCAGCCAAGCCAATTAGATCAAACGTTGATGTGGATAGTAGTGAACGTGTCACAATCACTTAGTTTTATTGTTTTTTTTTTATGTTTGTTTGGAATCTTGTATTAGCAGTAATACTTTTTGAATAATCCAGTTTGATGGGAACAACATTTTGTTGGCTCTATTATTTTGTTTAATGAACTCAGATTTGCGTTTTTATTTGTTGATGTTTCATATATTATACAAATTTTTTCGTGAATATAAACAGATATATATACTAATTTATAATGATGAATAGTTTGACATATTATACAATTATTTTTGAATAATTATACAACTTAATTGAGAAATCATTATACAAACGCAATTATTACTATAGAAAATTGTATTTATATCTATATATTTGTTCCCCTCTCTCACTTTATACAAAAACACAAATGTATAAAATGTGTTTTTGTTTGTATAAATCAAGAGAAATTATATATATGCATATATTTTTGTTCCCCTCTCTCCCCTCTCCAAGATCTCGCTCACCACTCTCCCACATCTTGCTCCCTCACTCGCCTCTCTCACTTTATACAAAAATGCAAATGTATAAAATGCGTTTGTATTTATATAAAGTGAGAGAAAATTGTATATATACATATGTTTTCATCCCCCTCTCTCCCCTCTCTCAATTCATACAAACACAAATGTATACATTGTCTTTGTGTTTGTATAAAGCGGGAGAAAATTGTATATACAGATACAAATGCATATATTTTCATCCTATACACTTTTGATTATACAAATACGATTTTCTCCTGCCCAGTTTTTTTTTGTCTTTCTCTCTTTCTCGCTTTATACAAACACAGATTATACAATTGATCTTTTGTATATGTATACCAAAGCAGATTATACAACTGCTTTCTTTTGTATAAGAACACTTATTTATACGTAGTTCAACTTTCATAAAATTCACTGTTCTGATAACAACTATCGAAAATAGCTATACATAGTGGGTACCTATTAAATTCATTTATAAATAGTATTACATAGGGGGTACCTGTTAAACACCAATTGTGATCATGTATCTATACAACTCAAATAATATTCAAATGTCAAAAGTGAGGCAATATTAAATGTAAAAAATCATCATAGACATTTCAAATTGAATCATTTCTAAACTTCCCGAGGCTGATTTCTACAAGAACGCCTATTGTGACCTGCAATACCACATGTACTGCATGTATTTGTCCCCTTAGATTCAAACATCTCTCTTGCTGATTTGTCGCGAGCCTTTTTTCTTGGTCTTCCAGGAGGCCTTTTGAATTCTGGAGGCAGAACTAAATCAGTCATTATGTATCCAGGGACCACCCACTCTGTTTTATCTGGCAATGGGTATATTGGAAAACCATAAGTCTTCAACACTATTGTCGGTGTGTATAAATTCGAACAGAACTCATCTGGTCCTAAACTCTTGAACTTCAGAACAGCCCAAGCATGGTCACATGGTATTTCTTCATACTGAAATCTTCCACAAGTACACATTTTCTTCTGAAGACAAACTATATAATTTCTACCTTTATCATTGACATTGTGAACATATTCAGTTGATGGAAAAACCTGCAATATACAAAAATAGATCAAAACAAATTATTATGTACAAATATATAGAAACCATACCAGCAGTCGTGTACTCATTGCTTCATTGATTTTGAGTATCTCCAGAAATTTTCCAATCAAGGGAGTAAATGTGAATGATGCCTCTTTTTTGTTATCACAATTCCATCTGCCAAACATCACCCTAACTTCCTCTAGAAAATCATAAATTGGCAATTCTCTTGCTGAAACTAATGCCGCATTTATACTTTCTGGGATATTCGATGTCATTGACCAACCACGATGAACTGGTGCATAAATCCTAGGCCACTTATCATATCCAGCTAACTCCAAGTATTCATTTACTCGTATATCTACCTTCTCTACTATCTTCATTAGCCTATCAAAATCTGATTGATGGGACGTCTTAGCCATTGTATAGAATACTGGACTTAATTTTTCATGGAATTTTCTGTACATTGTCTGAACATTCTTCCAAAGGTGCCACATACAAGCATAGTGTTGCACATTATTATACACTTGCGTAACAGCCTTTATGATGCTATCGTTTCTATCAGACACAATACACATATTGTTCCTTTCCCCATACGATTCTCTTAGTTGTTCAAACAACCATGTCCAAGAGGCATCATTCTCTGAATCTAAGACACTGTATGCTAGTGAAAATATATGACCTACACATATATATTTATACAGTTACAGAATTATAGATTATAAATATATATACAAAGAGTTATGTATAACAGTTATTCAGAATTCATAAATGTATATATATAATATAAAATACACATTTATATACTTGCACCGTCAGTTGTGCTTGCTGCTACAAAAGTTCCATTATAAGGTCCTCGGAGGTGACTCCCATCAACTACGACTACAGGTCGGCAATGGTCAAATCCTTTGATGAAAGGATCCAATGCAACAAATAGGTACAAAAATCTATCTTCATTTGTTTTCTGCAAGCGTATATGGGATCCTGGATATGTAATACCCAATATATACAAATACTCAGGTAGTTTGTTGTAGGATCCTCCTGGCATGCCCCTCAAAGAAATCAAAGCCCTTTCTTTAGCTCTCCAAGCCAACATGTAAGTTATATCAACACCAAGATCCAGCTTCATATCTTTTTTTATGTCAGCAGGTGTGTATTTCCTTTTATGATCTACCAATTTAGTCTTAACAATTCCTCCAACTAAATTGCTTGTTACTTGTCGTTGTGAATACACCCTATCTTTCAGTGAACATTTATGTTCAGCGTTGAACGCTCTTATTCTAAACATTCCTGATTTGTTAATATCTGAGGCCTTCATTAACCAATCTCATTCATCGGAGAAACACACAAGTGTATAACTACACGTAAAATAACCAATATATACAGATAAGTCAAAATTATACACCTAATAACAGTTGAACAGATTTATACAAATGATGTTACCTGATTGAATTTGACCTCTTTGTTTTAAACTGAAATCGTTCCGCAATTGCATATTGCTCCATCACACACTTCAATGTAGCTTTATTATTGTATACTTGATCTACCTTTACATACTTATGTGATGGATCAGTAATCACCACACTGCAATTCTCCATTTGAAAGGTATCGAGGGGATTTACTATCTCTGCAACTGTAAGTTTCTGTTTTTCAAATTCCTCAAAACCAGTTATACAAAGTGATCCAGAAATACCAAATGCTACCGTAGTTGAACTTTCACAATGTTCATTGTTCTGATAACACCTATCAGAAATAGTTATACAAAGAGGGTATTTATAAAATTCATTTGTAGATTTTTTTAGCATTACATATACCCGCACCCCCATCTCATTGTGTATCACCATCCTAGTACTGCTCTGATCAACCTTATATTCAATTTTTAGTACCTTCACAGTCACATCCACAGCTAGTTGAGTTGCAATTATATTATACAACTCTGTAAATGAGGCATTTTCTCTAAAAACAACTCCCTCAATAACATAGTCAACATAACAGTTTGTATCATCCCATTTTCCAGAATGCATTACCAAAATAGCTATGGAAGACATTCCTGTATACAATTAAATATAAATATAAATCAGTTGTTATTAATCCATTTATACATACACTAATTTATACAATTTTACAAATCAAAATCACTTTATAACAACTAATTTATACAATAATTAACACGGTTCTATTCTTCCAACTATTTTATACAATTAATCATTGAAATCGTTCAATTATACAAATACAAATATAAAAGTTTATATTTATACAAACAATAACTTATACAGACACTAACTCCACATAAACTACAACTATCTATGAAATATACATATTCAAATCGAAATTCAACTAAAACTAATTTATATAATTTTACAAATCAAAATCATTTTTATACAAACTAATTTATACAATAATTAACTTTATACAATTAATCACTAAAAAAGCTCAGTTATACAACTGCAGATATAAAAGTCTACATTTATACAAATAATAACTTATACAGACACTAACTACACATAAACTACAGATATCAATGAGTTATACATATTCAAATAACAATTCAACTAAAATTAATTTATACAATTTTACAAATCAAAATCACTTTATACCAACTAACTCCACAAAAAACAATTGAAACATATATTCAATCAAAGCTCCGATTATCAATTCCGATTTGAATTTCGATTAAATAGCTTATACAATTATAGATATATATTCCTCATTAATAGATCAATTAAAATACAATTGAAACAGTTTCTTCAATTAGAAGAACTAAATATCAATCGATTCAACCAAAGCTCCAGAGCACCAAACAGAAAAGAGATGAAATTCATTGTATTATCTACCTGTTGTATAATCAACTATGAAATCAATTGATTTGTTCTTGAATTGTAGTCGCCGATATGACGATCTCAGAAGAAAAGTGAGTTGCTGGCGAGATTGGATCAGATGTACACAGATGAAATCAATTCGGTTGTAGAAAGAAGATATAACGGGTAGAAAAGTTTAACGAGCGTGAATTAAGGGATTTTATACCCTCTCCAAGCCGAGATTATCGCCATTAACTTTCAAAAAATTTGAATTCTATTTTGTATAAAACTGTGAAAGAAAGTAAATTATACACGCGATCACAGCTGTAGCAACTTAAAATATAGCTACGGTTGGTAATTATGAAAACTTTAGCTAAGGAGAATAATTAATTTAATTATGGTAGCTATATGCGAAAATTTCCCAAATGCAAGCAATTTCCAGTAGCCCATCAAAATTCCCAGCCCATCCTCTCACTCCCTCTTTGTTTTCCAACTCCCAGCCGACCCAAACCAGGCTCAATCCCTGACCCGGCCCAAATCCTTTTCTCATCAGCAAAAGAAGACCCAGAAACGTCTTCAACAGCGGCTCAAAACAGCAACAATACAACGTCTCTTCAATCGCGCGTACCAGCGATTCCAATCCAACGGCTATGTCGTCTTCCTCCCATCCCTTTCCAATTTGTACCTGCAGCAGAGCACGCATCTTACCCCCTTTCCTCTTCCGAAATGGGGCGAATTTTCAGAGAAAAGGTGTTTATCCTTAATGGTGAAAGGATTTCGAGTTTGAATTTTGGAAATAGGCCTTGTTCTTACCCGAAAATTCAGCCTCTTTCCCCCCAAAATCCGAAGCCTAGTTTCCTTCTATATATTCCTCGTTATTCATTGTAAAGAGGGAGATTTTTTTTGGGTTTGGAAAATTGAGAGTAAAGGGCGTTGTTTTATTTTTTTCAGTGAACAAAATTTCAACATAAGAGATTTGAGCGATTCTTTGGTAGAGAACTTTTGGTCTTTCTTCATCAATATATAGATAGTAATTGATAGAGAGAAAAGAGTCGCAAGAAGTATATTCTTCTTAGCGTTTCTTCCTGGTTGCTGGAAATTTGCTGGAATCCTCGGAGTCCTCCGGAGTCGTTGGTGGAAAATTTATCGTCCTCTGTTCGTTGTTGTAGCTCGCTGCCCAAAACGAGGTAATACTCCTTCCCGACAACACCTTCTCCGTCTCTTTACTTATTTTGATTTGCTATGTGGGAGGATTCTTTATCTGGGGCTGGTTTATTATTGTGTATCTTTGAGTTTATAGTAGTCTAATGTGAATATATGTGTTCGGAAGGTTTCATGAGTTATGTTGGTGTCGACTTAAGTCTCTGTTGTTTTGTATATGGTGTCGAGGTTTCTCTGTCGCTTTATCGAATTCTGTTTCATGGTTCCACTTCTCGAATTTGCCTCCTGAATGTTGTTAAGTTTATGTCTTAGCTTAGTATTCGACGTCATAAATTTTCCTTTTTCCACCTCAAGTTGGATAAAGGAATTAAGCCGTCAAGATTTCGAGTTTACCTCATCTTTACTGCTCGTGTGTGAGTCTTTGAGTCGAATAATTGTCAAAACCTATTTGTGTACACCCATGTTCTGCCAGCTTGAGTTTATATTCTTCTCCACCTCTTGTGAGTTTGATCTGAAATGGTGTTTTCTGTCTATAGGAGGGTTCAGGGAATATAACTTGTATGTGACCAATTAGTCAAGTTCTCTTATTTGGGTCGAGTTGAAATCCTTCCATGATGTAGTGGTGGTGTTTTGTTCCTATATGTATTTACAAAGCATGAACTATTTCCCTTTCTTCAATCTTAATAACTTTATGCTGACAGAATCTCATTTTAGAAAAAAAAACCATGGCTTGTACTCCAAACTCTTGTGTATTTAATTGTATGCTCTCTTTAAGGAAGGCCAGAATCGATGAGAATATTTTCTATTGCTAAAGCATTTGTAGTGATTCACTCTTTGATACTATTACATTTTTCTTTTGTTATTTTAATAATGAGGTAGTAAATGGGTTTCCTTTGCAGTCGCATTTACTTATAAATTATTGTAAAAATTAGGCAAATGACATAGTATAAGAAAGAAATTACTTCATTTCCCTACTCTTTCATTAATTACCAAAAATCCCTTTTTTTAGTGTTTTTTGGATACATAATATAGCAGCGTGGATACTTTAATTAATAACGGGCGGATACTTAAATTATTAAGTTGTTAGCAGCACATATACTTAATTAACGGGCGGATGCATAATATAGCAGCGCGGATACTTTAATTAATAACGAGCGGATACTTAAATTATTAAGTTGTTAGCAGCACAGATACTTAATTAACGGACGGATGCATAATATAGCAGCGCAGATACTTTAATTAATAACGGGCGGATACTTAAACTAATAAAGTATCCGGATAAGTTGAATTGGGGGAAATAAGGGATTTTTGTATTTTAGTAAAAGAGTAGGATATTGAAAATAGGTAAAGAAGTGTTGTGTATTTAAGTAATTTTTCCTAAATTATTAGTGAATGGGTTTCTTGTTGGCTTTGAAATTTGACTTTGTTAACTATGAGTTTACATGACTTTCATTGCCTTTGACTGTGATAAATGTCGTTCTTGTTAGTTACTGTTGATTGAACTTTGTTTAAAGTTGAGTTTAAATCAATCAAATGTCGTGTGGTTATTTTGTTTGTCTTATCATCGTGAGTAGATGCTAACTCTTATTTATGTGTTCTTTTCATGTGAAATATCCTCCGAGTCTTCATGGGCTCTATCTTTCCCCTTGCATCTCGCGGGTTGGGCCTAACAGGCCCGGCATTTCTATTTATCGAATCCAAGATAGCTGACGAACAGGCCACATGCAGTATAGGGGCTGGAAAATTTACAGTATCTAGAAAGCTGAAAAACAGTCTGGTATACCCGCTGTATACATTGGTATGCAGTTGGAAAATACGGTATATAGGTTCGAATTGCAAAAAATACAGATTGAGAAGGGCGGAAATATAGAGTGCAAATAAAATACAGGCTTCAGAAGGCCCAAAATGGGTTGGATACGGCGGTATATATAAAATGTATATGCAGATTTTCTAAAGGCAAATAGGCCCAAAACCTTAAGTCATTTTCAGCAGGCCTAGATGGCATGAAAATGGGCCAAAAGCCCGGCCCAAAATGGGTTGGATACGGCGGTATATATAAAATGTATATGAAGATTTTCTAAAGGCAAATAGGCCCAAAACCTTAAGTCATTTTCAGCAGGCTTAGATGGCATGAAAATGGGCCAAAAGCCCAAATTTGATGTCTTGCTCCTTTGCTCTTTATTTGTTTATGGGAAAGGGTCTGATATACCCCACAACTTTGTCATTTGGAGCTGATATGCCCCTCGTTATGAAAGTGGCTCATATATACCCTTACCGTTATACAAACGGTTCACATATACCCCTACTATTACAAAATGAGTTCACATATACCCTTCATTTAACGGAAGTGAAAAAAATA